CTGGTCGTTTTTGTTGGGGGCCGATTGTGTTGAGACCCTTCATTGCTGCGTCGAAGCATCGTCGGGCGACTTCAATATCTCCGTTGAGAGTGACAACGGCTCCGAGTCTGGTGTAGTACTTCATCTTTAGGTGGACGGTTGATGGTACCGCGGTGAGTTCAACCATGGTCGTTCTGCCCAAGATGCAGTTATATAGCGACGCGCATTCGACGACTAGGAAATGGACGTTGATTTCTCTGGCCGTTTCCTTCTTCCTGAATGTGACATTGAGCTCCACGTACCCCCATGGTCTTGTGGTCGTCCCGTTGAAGCCCGGTAGATCTGAGCCTAGGTATGGGGACAAGTTAGATTCGTCGAGCTGAAGTGTTGCGAAGAGATGGGTGTACATGATGTCCACTGAACTTCCCCCGTCGACCAAGATGCGCCGGACGTCGAAGTTAGCCATCTACGCCAGGATCAGTAAAGGGATATTGGAGTTTGGGGCTCCCCTGGGGAGTTCCTCGAGGTAGAAGGTGATCGGGTTGGAACAACCTCGGAATTTATCGAGCATGCTCATCTTGCCAGAGCTGCTGCTGATAAGCTCGTCGAATTTCCGCTTCACTGACCCTACAGACAGCTTGCTCGGGTTTCCTCCGAAGATGACCATTGCCCTTGGGAAATACTCCCACCTGCTGGTGGGGCGCACTGGCTCCTCGGGTAGTTCGAGTTCAGCGGGGAGGCTAAATTCACTAAGGGCGAACCAGTCCTCAGGTCGGCTGACACTGAGGGCCACCTGTAGGCCGGACTCGCCTTCTGGGGGAGGGAGGTCCTCGACTCTTTTAGCCTCGGGGGCCTCCTGCCGCGGGGGCTCTCCTCCTCGGGTGTATCTTTTAAGGTGCCCGTCCTTGATCAAAATCTCGATCGCATCCTTTAGGTGTATGCAATCCTCGGTCATGTGACCGTGACTCCGGTGGAATCGACAGTATTTCGATTTGTCCACGTTGGCTTTAGTGGGCGCCGGTTTCGGAAAATGGACCCCTCCCTGGACAAACTCCATTTTGGCGCACTCCGCAAGTATGCGCTCGCGGGAAGCGATCAGGGCGGTGTATTCCGTGAACCGTCCAGCTGGGCCCCGCTGCTCGCGGGGCTCTCTGGGACGGTCATCCCGTCGTCGGTCTCCCTCTCGTCGGTGGCTCGAGGCTCCGTCGTGTCTGGATCCGTGGGGGGTCTCTCTGTCCCGGGTGTCCCGGGCGGAGTTGGCAGCTTGTGTTTCCTTGAACCGGATGTAATGGCGAGCACGGTCAAGGAAATCTTGGAGGGAGTCTGGTCGGTGGATGGCCACGGCCTCATAGAATTTGGAGTCTCGGCGCAGGCCTTGCTCCATTAGGTAATGCTTCATCTCGTCCGAAGTCGTTACTTGTACTGCCTCCCTTGTGAACCTCTCGATGTTGTTCCTGAGGGGTTCGTCGGGGGCCTGGATGATCGCGCTGAGCGCGGCTTCTGTCTTCGGGTGGCACCTGGACGACGTGAAGTGTCGCGAGAAGAGGTCCTTTAGGACCCTCCACGACGTGACGGACTCCGGCTCTAGGCTCTTGTACCATGTCATGGTGCCTTTCCGTAGGGTCGTCGGGAAGAGCCGGCATTTGATGGCTCCTCGGACGTTACGGTAATCGAGCATAGCCTCGATATCTTCCAAGTGGTCATCCGGGTCCGAGGTGTCGTCATATGTTGAGAGCGCCGGTGGCTTTTCCATCCCGTGGGAGATGGGAGCTGCCATGATCTCCCGAGACAAAAGGGTCCGGTAGTTGCCCTCGTCGCTGAGAATCAGGGACGGAGGAGGTGAGGGTTCGTGCCGCGGGTGCGGTTGATTTTGTACCCTCGGCTGCCTCACTGGGGGTTCTGTTCCTGTCGCCCTTGGCTCCTGGGTTCGCTTTTTTTTCCGGGTTGGCGACCTTGTCCGCTTCTTGGAGGCAACGGGTTGGGGCCTCTCTAGTTGTGGTCGGCGATTTCGTGGACGGGGTGACGGGCTCCTTGAGTTCCCGTGCTGCTCTTCCCGCAGAGGGGAGCGGGACGGGGCTTCGTGCTCGAGCGCGCCAATGCGCTGATTCTGTTGGAACAACATCTGATTTGTTTGATTGATGGCCGCAAAGAGGGCGACCATCGTCGGGTCCGCGCTGTCCGGAGTAGGGATAGGCTGGAACACTGTCGGGCTTCGTGCCCGAGGGGCTTCGCGGTGCGGGGAGCCTTCTGGGGAAGGGGAAGCATGCTGGCTGTCGCTGGCGTCAGTCTCATGTGGTTGAGATGTCCCAATGTGACTGTTGGCGGGCGGAACGACGGAGGAGTTGTGGACGGCGTCGTCATGGCGTGGGCTAGTCATGATTCGAAAGGGTTGGGATGAAACTTTGGTTCTCTGCTCGGAGGAACAGGGAAGTTTGTGTTCCCACAGACGGCGCCACTAATCTGACTTGATCAGAAGGGAATCGCAGGATTGTCACGCGTTCTTGACTTAATGCCTGTCCACCGGTGTTGAAGAGGAAAAAAGGGGGGTGTACCTGCAAGATACTCTGATGCCAAAGTAAGGAATTGAAAAGAGTGAGAGCAAATACAGAGAAGAGGTTAAGAAGTGAATACCTAACCCTCTTGTGGAAAAGAGTATTTATAGAGAGACCCCAGCGCAGGGCCAACAGTCATTTGAGTTGGGCTGGATGGCCAGACTCAACCCAAGTGTTTGTTAGGGCTTACGTGGCGTAGTGAAGACCAGGACGTGGTCTTCGCCCTAGTTCAATTGTTCCATGAACTCTGGAGAGTGGATTGACCTGCTCTTTCGGAGGTGGGCAGTTGGTTGATGACGTGTTCCCGCGGAGGGGAGCACGTGGAGAACGCGTGAGGCACACGTCTTTCCTACCCGACGGGGCAATACCTGGCCGGCGGGAGCCTCGTGCTCGACACAGATGAGGAAGACTTATTTGGGCCTTTCACCCAGTGTAAGTGGGTTGGGCCTTCTCGATCAAGCGGGGGCCCAGGCCAGAACAATAGGCAATCAATAATATAATTTGTTATGTTATTTGATGAACATGCTTTAGTTTTGTGCCTAGACTAAGTGTACTAGGACAAATATGTGTTTGCTCTAGAAGTCCTAGAACATTTTGCTTAGTAATCAATATCGAAATAGATATTGTTCATTATGGCATCATTCTTTTTACCAATATCTTTACATTTTAGATGTTGGGCTCATTTTCCCTAGTCCAGTTTTGGGCTCGGACCAGATACAAAAATTGCCAAGGTAAGGCTTATGATTTTGTATCGTTATTGTTTGTGTTTTTCTTTTAGTGCTTGAAGTTCTTTAGTTTCTATCGGGTCCTTGACTGCCTCTTTTTGTCCCATAGTGTGATGTAGACTGAGCTTTTTTTTTTTCCAGTGTTATAGTATTTGAATTTTGCACATTGACATTGTTTTCCGAACTATTCCTAGCAACGATACTAGTCAAAAAGTACGGATGTGCATATGAGTGGCAAAATAAGTCATGACCTTATGGGCTGGCCCATGCACCCGTAAAAAGATGGTAGATTGGATTGAGATTTTGTATCCGCTTACCCGTTCAATTCGCCCTGCCTTAAGACTGCAAAAATTATGATTCTATTTTAGGTAAAATTTCATGATGATTTTAGACTTTTAGTTGTCATTTTACACTTTCTAATTGTTGGTTTGATACTTTTTAATTAACATTTTAAGTCCAATTTCAATTGGTGGGCTTGCCCGCCCTGTTCATTTTTGACGGACTTAAGATGGGACGAGACGAATAGCTTGTTTTGCACCCCTAAGTGTATATCACCCAGCAAATAGCATGTATGTCCGAGACCTTAATAGGTATATTACATTGTATAGTAATTAGAGTTTGTCCATAACTGCTTGTGTGTGTGAGTTAAGATACAAAGATTATTTGATGATTTAGCATATTTCCCACTTTTCTTTTTATCTGAAAAATACAACAAAGATTATTTGATGATTCAACATATTTCACACGTCACTTTAAAATTAAACACCTCATTAATTTTGTAAAAATATATATATAAAAAGAAACCAAAACTGTTTCAAAATAAAAAATTAGTTCCACCAATAGACAAATAAAAAACCAAAACTTATGGATTTTCAAGGATAAACTGTCCTGTTTGATTTTTTATTTCCTCGGGAAGGTTATATATCCTTCACGTGAATCTTGCAATTATCATGACAAGGGAAATAAATATATTGAAATATGAAGAAAAGTCGATTAGCAACATTTCATTTTCATGCCTAATTATATAAAACCATACACAATAATCTCGTTATGCTCCCTTGTCGAATAAAAGGTCCGCCGATTGGGAACCTTCAGGCACTTCCACATTCAACAATTGTTCAATCACTCTTTTACCCGCAAATGCAATGGTTGCGTTTGGTTCCGCAATAACGATATCCCCCAACATCGCAAAACTAGCGGTTACCCCACCAGTAGTCGGAGATGTAAGTATCGCTACATAGAATAACTTTTTATTTATTTGATAATTATATAACGCAGAAGAAATTTTAGCCATTTGCATTAAGCTCAAACTTCCTTCTTGCATACGCGCTCCTCCGGAAGGACAGACTATAATTAGAGGTAAAAGTTGATTGGTAGCATATTCGATCAACCGAGTTATTTTCTCACCCACTACGGATCCCATACTACCCGCGATAAACTCAGAATCCATAACAGCTATTGCTAAAGTTGTCTTCAATATTTCGTGATATTAAAGAATTTAGAGAGCTACAGAAATTGTTAAAGGATACTCTTGAATAAAAATAATGGTAGCTTAATACATCAAATTTCTATCAAACTGAACTGTGAACTATGCAAAAGCATACAACTTCTCACAACACAAATCAATCTCAAAATCCCAAACAAATTCCTACGCCTCAGACTGAATAGCATGAAAACAACTAAATTCGATAATAAAACACACAGAGGAAGGATGTGTTAGTAACCGGAGCTAATACAGATCATCTCACTTCTCATCACGAGCTACATCGCGAGTCTCCCATGCTGGTTTTTTTTCATTACTAACGTCATTTAAGATTAATCCTTCTATTGGCTTCACGAGGAAGAAGTACTGCAGGTAAAAAGAAGAAAAATGAACAAGCCGAAGAAAAACCTCCTGTCGTTTATAGTAATAAAAAGAGAAAATAGAGTCTGCCTAAGTTCAAAAGCTTACTTGTAGAGCAAATATGAGAGGAATCCATAATTTTCCTCTCTGATTTGGATTCGGTCCATCAATCAAATTCTTGTCAACAAAAATAGACTCACTTTTGTTCAATGCAACTTCTGTGATTGTTTGGACTAGATGAGGAATCCAAGCAATCCCATTTGGAAGAACCTGTCACCATGCACACATTTTCTCAATCAGTTAAGCATATGATTATGGGCTAAAAGGGATATAAGGAAATCATTATGCAAATCTCTCCAACCTTTTCATCACTGTCATTTTTGTTGCATCTCCCGCTATTCTCGATCAAAACAACAGGAATGTCAGAAGCCTAGGGTCAAGAGAAAAACAGAATACACAAGCATGAAAATTATTAATTAGTGTTTGTGAAAAGCAACAATTATTTTCATTAAAGACTATGTTTCTATCTAACACAATTTGTTAATCTCGAGATCTTTCTTATGCCATAATGTTCTTTCAAAGACTATCTTTCTTATCCAATTCGTTAATCTCGAGATCTTTCTTTAGCTAAAAAATGTTCTATCAACGACCATGTTTCTATCCAATTCATTAACCTCAAGATCTTTCTTACACCATAATGTTCGGTCAAAGACCATGTTTCTATCCAATTTGTTAATCTCGAGATCTTTCTTAAAGGCATATTCCACACATATTAAAAGCTTGAGCTATAATGTTAAGAGAGGGTTTTGGTACCAATGAACCAGCTAAGATATGAACCTTAGTACAAAATGTCAAACAAAACTGAACTAGTTCAATCATATATTCCAGACTGCCAATTCATGGTTAACTCAAAACTGCCCCGTTCAATGTTAGTTGTATTACACAAATTAGCCAAGTGTCCTAAATGGAGTAACGGATATAGATATATTGGTCATCCAAACCAAGAAAAACAGATCCCTACACGAGTAAATGCATTTGGAGAATCCACTAGATTGCCAACCAACGTTTTCTATTCAAGGATCATAAATCCAGGAGCTAAAATCTAAATATTTCAGTTACCAATTCCTTTCCAGTTTAAACTTTTTACTCAGAGGTGTATTTCAAGGAAAGGGTTGAGATATTAGATAGAAAAATACCTGAGCATTATTCTTTAAGGAAGCACCTGATCTTACAACTTGCAAGAGAGCCTCGGATCTTTTTGAGAAGAATTCATCATAAGGCAATCCATCAGGTGGAGAGAATTGGGCATGTGTGAGTGCTACTATAGCCTTGTTCCATATTCCTTTTCCAAAACTGTCAGTTATAGCTTGGGCGACTAACTTATCCAAGTTGTCTACTCGATAAGCATCTAAGCGGTCCACGTAAAGCAAAACATCTATGGTCTTGTCCAGAAGGAAACTACTCAAAACCCAAACAAAAGAAAAGGGTAAAGAGGAAAAAAACTAAATCAGTTTCTTAGTTTCTTTTCCAAAAACATGTATCACGGGTGGACTGTTACATGCCAGACTTAAAAAAGCATACCTTTTTATTATATTAAGCGCCATATCATTGATGTATCCCCCTTCAATAAGACCAGGAGTATCGATAATGTTCAATGTAAAACCAGCCCTTGATCGCGACACCATAACAGGTCTTGGCCCTTCAGACTTTCAAGATTAAAAAAAAACTTTTCAACAACACGTAAGTAAACATAAAAGAAAATCAACTAAAAAACCACCGCCCTATAACCATCATAGGAATCATAGGATAGTATCATGACATACCTGAAAGGGACTAATTGAAACCACCCTTTCCCCAATGATGGAGTTCACAGTTGAAGACTTCCCAACGCCACCTTTCCCCATCACAAGTATGGTTATGGAGTTTACATCCTATACCAAAAGAACAAACACAAATTCCCAAAGTGGTAACAAAAAAGAAGTCATTTCGAACGCAAATTCTCGCCAAAAGCATATACAATAGTAAAAGTAAAATAATCCAAGGTTTTAAATCATAGTTCTTGCAATAGTTAGAATCATTGAAAATTACAATTAGAAAAACCCATACAATTGCAATTGCTGACACAATCTTACAGAGACATTAAAAAACCTAACTTTTCAGCCATTACAATTGTGGGCCATCTCTTAAAACCTTTCTGATAGTTTGTATTATGAAAAACTGCAGCCGCAATCATCGCGGCAGTCTCGCAGAGACCTTCAAACCCCTAACATAACTGCAAATGCAAACCACTTCTTAAACATGAAAAACTGTTTTTAGGAGTGCAATAATTCAAAAGATATAACTATAACTGATTGAAGTCACAGTCTCATAGACATTAAAAACCTCAACACCGCGGCCATAATTACTGTTGTGCAGGGTTTTAAGAAATGGTCGCGAGTAAAGGTTTTCACAATTTCGGTCGGTTCAGGTGTCGTGACACTGATTACGTGTGAATTAACCGCAATTTGTTTTTTAATATAGAAAACGGTGATAACGGTATTGGTATCGGCATCTGCCAAAACCTTTTTGTCGGCGGCCGTTATCGCGGTCGCGGACCGCTTTTGAAAACCCTGCTGTTGCGGACAGTCTCTTAAACCCTAGAACAAAACTAAGAAGCATGAAAAATTGTTATTATTATAATAATTCAAGGATAAAGTGAAGAAAAAACCTCTTGTTTAAGTTTTCCCAATAGTTCAAGCAACTTGGTCTGTGTAGCAGGAGCGAATGTATTGATTCCTGACCACTCACGAACAGTTTGTTGTTGAGAAGCCATAACTTTCCACTGATAATTCCACCAACACAACACAAAATTAAAAGATAAACGTTTATTAGTGAAAATTCAATTCAATTCAACTGAAACCTAACACAATTAGAAAACAGGTATATGAACACGAATTAACAAATACAATTACTAACAATTAACAATACTGGTTTAGACTAATGAAATGCTGGAAAAGAAGACTGTGAGAAAATTAACGATAAAATTGAGGGAAAAGAAGAAGCGAAAGCGAAGAAATACAACGGTTGATGAGTACCGGAAGTGAATGAGAGATTGTGGTAGGGAGGCGCAACGATAGGAAGAACCGCCCTTAGCCTCCTTATCCAACTAGTGCTCTTTCGATATGATGATAGAGGTCTTCGTCTTCAACTATTGCCTTGGTCCTTTAAATATTAATTACTAATAAATCTTTTTTTAAGGAGTAGCAATAGTTTGGTTAAATGTGTTTTTTTTATTTTATTAATATCTTAAATTTTATTTGTACTAGTCTATAAAATTTTTAAGTTGTTTGGTTGAGATATATTGAATTATGATTTCAAAATTATAAGAGGGTTACAAAATCAGACTAAAAAAAGAGAGACAATGTAATAATATTGTCAAAGTTTCACCCTTTCGGAACAAATATATTTCATGAGGTCATGAATTCGGACTAAAGAGAGTTGATTGAACATGAAATTTGAATCAATACTCATAATTCAAAACGTTAAATTAGAAAGAGAGTGGGTATGAGATAAATTATCATCCCTAGTGGACTTAAAACCAGACCCAATCGATTCATAATTCCAACTCGAGTAAACTATAAAACGAAATATGGATTTTTTACCTAAAAACAAAATATGGTCATCGTCGCCACATTCATCATATAAGAGTATCGAAACAACGAATCATAAGATTTCATATGTGTTTGCGACCATTATGGAGAAAATGTTTCAATCATGCTCACAAGAACAATTCTTTAATATATTCAACTTAAAATTTACTAAAACACAATTCAGGGTCTGACCCTTAAGCCTTCTATTTTTGGTGGGTTGAGCCAAGGTTTTTGATCTGACCTGATCAGAAGGGGATCACTAGCTGACCACACTTTGTTGGACTGCTGCCTGTTCACCGGTGATGAGGAGGAGGAAGGGGTGTACCTGCAAGGCACTCCGATGCCAAAGTAAGTATATGGGCAGAGTGGTCACAAGCACAAAAAAAGGGTAAGAAATGAATTACCTGACCCTCTTGTGAAATAGGGTATTTATAGAGAGACCCCAGCGCTGGGCCAACGGTCACTTGTGTTGGGCTGGATTGCCAGGCCCAACCCAGGCGACTGTTAGGGCTTACGTGGCGTAGTGAAGACTAGGACGTGGTCTTCGCCCTAGTCCAACTGTCCCGTGATCTCCAGAAAGTGGGTTTGACCTGCTCTTTCGGAGGTGGGCAGTTGGTCGGTGACGTGTCCCCGCGGAGGGGAGCACGTGGAGAACGTGTGCATGGCACGTTGCTCTCCCCGCGGAGGGGAGCTCGCGAGGTTCCCCGGAGGCGTATTGTTATCCCCGCGGAGGGGAGCACTCGAGGGCGTGGGAGAGACATGTTGTCCTGCTCGGCGGTATGGGGATTCTTCCCGCGGAGGGCTGTTCTGCTCGACGAAGGACAGTGATTGGCAGCGCCTTCCCGCGAAGGGGAGAGCGCAGGGGGCGTTCTGAGGCACGCTGTTCTCCTCGGCGGGAGCATGCCCTGCCCGTCGAGGGGTCATGTGCCCGGCCGTCCTACTTAAACCATATTGGTCCTTTATTGTGTATCATTGGGCTGGACCGTGAGGTCAGGCCGGGGCCCAGGCCAGAACAGGAGCCCCCCTAAGTCGAAGCTCTTCGGTGGACGAGCGAGGACTTGAGAACGTTGTTCCGGGGAAGAAGGTCGCGAGGTGCGAGATTACGCCGACTCGTGTTCGTCGAGGTGCGTGTTGCGACGGTCTCTCCACATTGCCGCATGTGCGGGGCAAAGTCATTTGAAGGGACGCGACTGTCAGCCTACTGCCACATGTCACGCATTGAGTGGGCATGAGGGCGGCTACCCTAGTGCCGCTTGGAGTTCCGCGCCGGGTTATAAATATGGGAGTCCCCGCACACTTTTTACTTTTCACCTTGCCTTTTCACTTACGAAGCTCTGTAGTTCATCCCCATCCGCCGTTGCTGTGAATCGTCGTCGCGCCGTCTGTTTCGCATTCCGTCACTCGCTGCTTATAAAGTGAGTTTTCCTTCCTCCTTTCCTTTATTTTCGCCGTTTATTTTGGGTTTGTGGTCGGGGCACGATGAATGCCCTGAGGAGAGACGCGATTATCCGCCGTATCTGGTGGAGTTTTAGAGTTGTTTAGATGAATGCATCGGGGATGATCAACTATTCTGATGAATGCAACGGGGACGAGTGCTTCTTCCGATGAAGCCCCCGGAGAGGGGCGATAGGTTAGTTTTGAATGTCCCGTGGAGAAGTGGTGAGGAATGCTCCTCGGGGCTTGCCTGGGCGTTTGTCTTCTGTTCGCGAGACCGCCGTCGTCGCCCTTTCACTTGACCTGCGGTGGAAGGGTGGATTTGATCTTGGCTATCGAATTCATCGTTATCCTCTGCTTTTCAGGTGTTCATGTTGGCCTTGATACTGGGGACGATGGTCGTAGACAACGAGCCCGAGGTTCTAGACTTTGACGAAAGGGTTCTCCCCATCGAGGAATGGGTGGCTGAAGAGCCTCTATCCACCCCGTCTTATTTCGTTTTTGACACGTTTGATGCCCATACCACCGTGGAGGACCGGGTAGAGGGAGAGCCTCAAAACTGGCAGGTGTACCGTCCCAAGGAACATCACCGTATCTGCTCGAGGTATGGGCGGCGGACGTTTCCTATGCACGAGTTTTATTTTAAAGAGACCCGGCTCAGACTGTCGTTCTCCGCTTTCCATTTGGGTCTTTTCGACTGGCTGCGTCTGGATCCATCTCAGCTGCATCCCAATGCCCTGGCCTTTATCCGCGTGTTCGAGATGGTGTGTCGCTTTCTCCAGGTCGAAGCCACGGTGCCCTTATTTTTCCGTATTTTCCACCTGCAACGGCAAACGGTGAATGGCCGGCAGGGTTGGGTCTCGTTTAAGCAGTCGACCACACTTTTTAAGACGTACATGGACTCCGTCCGGGATTTCAAGGGCTGCTTCTTCCTCGTGAGGCCGATCACAAGGGAAGGGTCGGACTCTCTTTTTACTGAGGGGGAGCGAGTGGTGGATGGCCAGCGGTTTGTCGCGTGGCTTCCGAAGGTGCATTTGTTGTGGACCCCAGAGCATTTCAACCACGGAAACGACCGATATATAGTGCGGGCTGGGACCCTCGACGAGGGGGACATGACCGCCTATATGAAGATAGTGGCGTTTGTGCGGGGTCTGCCCCCGTCGAAACTAGTGACGCCTGATGGTCGGTATATCTTCGACGCGCAGGGGAACGTGCGAACGAAGAAGAGGCTGATTAATACGAAAACCTTGCTCGGCGACGGATGCTCTTGATTACCTAGGTGGGGACACTTCCTTTTTCTCGTGACTCTGTATGTTTTGTTTGTTGCTGACTCTTTTTTTTTGCAGCGAACATGTCTTCCATCGAAGAGCGGGTGAAGAAGCTGCGCGCCTCGAAGGTTGTTGGGGCTACGAAGACGCGGGTGAGCCAAATAATCGGGCAGGAAGCTGTGGTCCAGGGTGGTCAGAGCTCGTCCTCGTCTCCTCAGGGAAGTCAGTCTCCCTCATCTCAAGGGACTGCAAAGAGGCTAAGAATCGAGGAGGTCAGTGGCCGGATTGATCTGACGATCGGGTCTGCCGAGGAGGGCTATGTTGTCCCGTCGTGCCATCAACACCCATGCTATTTTTACGGGGCCAGGTCGCCCACTATTTCCGTTGGTGAAGTGAAGGTGGTCCTGGATGCGGACCGAGAGTCTCGTCGTCGCATCTTGGCGGAGGGTCTGGCCGCGATGATGCGGACCTTTACCACGGAGATGGTCCTGAGTGAGGAAGGCTACTCTACCGCCGAGCTGATCAGGCTGCGGGGGGATCTCACCTTCACGCAGTCGCGCCTGGCCAAGCTCTCCGAGGAGTTGGAAAAAAAAGTCAGAAGGACGCCGCTGACCAGCGCAAGCGGGCGGATGGAGCCGAGGAGAAGGTGACAACTATCGAGGAGAAGTTGGGGGCGACGAAGGCCGAGGTGTAGGCGCCGAAGGTTCGCGTGGAGGTTCTAGACAGCGCCCTCCGTCCGGCCGAGGATGAGACCGAGGAAGACATGCGGATGATCACTCATACGGATTTGCTTGCCCGGATTCGGGTATTGGAGAATGATTGTCTGGAAGCTATCGAGGTCGGGTTCAAAAGTGTCATCGCGCAACTCCAGGTCGTCAACTCTGGTGTCGCTTTGGTTGTGGACGGGGTCAGGCCCTACCACGAGATCGTCGACGGAAAGGTGCTCGATCCGGAGTTTGTCGGCCCCGACGTTGTTAATGTGGATACTGAGAAGGAGGGCGAGGATGTGTAGACTTTCCCCGGGCCTGCGTGCCCATAGTTTCTGGGCCTGCGTGCCGATGCTTTTGTAATTTTCTTTTAAGTGTTTTGTTTTGACGGGCCTGTATGCCCTTGATGGTGTAACATAACTATTGGGCTGGTGCCCTTTTATAATTCTTGAAATTTTTTCTAAGTGTGCGCTCGGCTTTGTTTCTGCATGTTTGTTTATGCTCATTATATATATGCACGTGCTTGCATGCTCGAAATATATGTTTGTATGTTTGAAATGCATGTTTGTGTTTTTGGGTCTGTCCGGGGTGGTAGCTCGACGATAATTGTTTCCGGCGGTGTGGGTAACTGGCCGGGTGGCCGGGTGGCCGGCTTTGTTACCTGACCGGTTCGGGGGTAGCTCTCCCCGCGGCGTGGACGTCCCATCGTGAGCTAGGTGTCCTGCCGGTGCTGGTACGGCGGTGAGGAATCTCGATCGAGGTGTTCCCCTCCGA